ATAAAAACAAAGATGCCGAGAGAAAAGTTTGTTAATGTTTTTAAAAATAAAGGGGGGGGGGGGGGGAAACGAACACAACTACAGAGTTTCCAGATGCCAAGCATAGACTTTAAAAAGGATTAGGCGATGGGAGGGAGAGAAAAGAGGGCAAAAGTGACACAGAAACGGGGATGTGTACGCATTACTGAGTGAGAGCAGCATGAGCACAACACATGGGGCTTTCCTGCTCCCCTGCATCGCCAACCCGCAGCAAAGGTGTAAAACACAGAGTAACGGCAGCCTCCTCCCCGGCGGCATTGCTGGCAGGGGAAGCGCAGGCTGATGCTCTGGATGCTGGGGACCACCAGGAACTCCCCGTTCTCCTCCTGTCACAGATGCTTCAATGGATCTCTAAGCTCTCCACCTCCAGAACAGGAACAAACACCCATCTAGAGAGGCTGGGACCTCCCAGAGCTCAAACACCAGGGACAAAAGGCTGGGGGAGGGAATGGGTGCCAGCTGTGAAAGGTGGGTTCACCCCTTGTGCTCAGCAGGCAATGGGTGAGCATCACTCCCCTGGCATTCTCTCCTTGCCTCCGCTGCCCGCCCAAGAGATGTGCCCAAAGGCAGAGCAATATTCCCTGCAATTAAGGCAATTCACTAATCAGAGCAGCATCAGGGCATCCATCACACCGGCAAACACCATGCTGGTGCACAGCAACAGCAGCCCATCTCCCTGCCCGCTCCAGGCTGCGAAGCCTGAGCAGCCATCCAAGGACTGGAATTTCTAATGGAAATCATGACAAAGTTGGCAAAACCCCAAGAAAAATCAAGGCTTCAAGTCACATAATTACTAGAAGAATGAAATTCTGTTACCACTCATAACCGGCCTGGAAAGTTAATTAAAATGTTCATGTATATTTGTAATTATTAGAGAAAAAATGGCCAAATAAAAAAAGAGCTTTAAAGACACAGTACACACCCTGCTTCCCAAAAAATGTGTCTGATTTTTGTGATGAGACACCTCAGGTCTTCATCACTGTAACACAGCAGTCCCACAGTCCGGATGGAAGCCAACAAACTGGGCTCCCATTACCGTGACACCAGTGCTCCCAGGCAGAGCAAGGACAGATCACACTGGAGTAGCCACACAGACACAGCCCAGAAATGCTAGAAACACGTGTGATAAATACAGAAAGTGCAAAGGCCTATGTTGTACCACACCTTCCCAAAGCTTCCTTTTCCCAGCACCATCAGGAAATTGAAATCCGAAAGTTTCATCCGATCTCTGCTCCCGTTGTTGTCAAATTTAGAAATGGCATTTGTTGTCTTCTCATCTGCAGCCTTGGACCCTGTTCCAATCTTAGCTCTCTGCAAAGACAGACATGGGACAGAGAGAAAAGAGAAAAAATTACTGAAAACAGCGTGGAGAAAGGTCATTACAAAACCAGCCAGTGCTCCTGAAATCCCATGTTAATGAGCTCTTTTCCAGGTCAAACCCTACCTGAGCTACGGGAACCTCTTCTGTAAGCATCACAGGGACAGCACCAAGAAGGGCACTGGGGAAGTTATCAGCCCCAACACATTGCACTGTTCAGCTGGTTCCCAGTTAACCTCTGTTGGAGCAACCGGGAACCGCATCTGCTCACTACCCCTTTACCCCTCACCCCACAGCCAGCGGGACACGGCAGCCTGTGCGCCCAGGGAGCTACCCCGTAACATGCTGCAGGGCATCCGAAGTATAGAACAGAGGCTTAAATAAGCTTTCTCTTCTCAAAGCTGACTTCTGTCTCTCACCTCACCAGCAAAGGACAGGTGAATATAAATACATTAAGGTAAAACACAGGACTTTTTATCCAGCTCCACCTCCGTTACTATCTGGTATCGAAGAGAATTGCACTCCCGTGCCAGTTCAGGCTGAACGTAGGTAGCTACAAATCCATTTTGAACAAACTAGAATAGAAAGCACTCCTCCTGCATCCCCGAGCAATCGCGCAAGCTGCTGCAATCACAATTACTTATTAAGGAACCTCACAAAACCCCCACATTTTTAAACACAAAATCTCATCAGTGGCTCGGCACCTCCTCATTGGTCCAGGGGCTATCTAATTTGCTGAACCACAGTTTGTAAAAGCTATCTCACAATTTATTCGGTTTTAATTTTTAGAAATATGCGACAGTGTAAGGCTTGCACTGAGCTCAGTCTAGCATGAAATTCCATTAACCCGATTCCAGCACTTCAATTTGGCTGCTACTCACAGCTCCTCCAGATAGGAGCCTCACAAGTAATCTCCAAGCCTTTGCTGCTGCTGCTAATTGGTTCTTGCAAGGTTCCCCGTGCTGTAAAATTCTCCATTCAAGGTCACCTGCAGCACCTACAAACATCTGAAAAACTCCCCCACTGAAAACTAAAGGAATGGTCTCCAGGATTTGCAAACATCATCATTGCTAAGGCAGCTCTGCCCCAGGGAGGAGGCTGAAATCATTCAACAGCCACCGGTACCTGCTCCTGCCGCGAGCGGAGCCACACACAGGGCACACCTGCTTTCCAATGGGAAAAAGTGCAGACACTGAAAAGGAAATAACATCACCTCTGCCGAAGTACAAGGGGTTTTCCCGATTGTAATGTTTAGGTTTTCACAACATCCCAAAAGAAGGGGACGCCCAGCCAGAGCATTTTACTTCAAATCAGCTCAGGTGACAAACAGCAGCTCTGGCACTGACGGAAAGCTGCTCATTGAACTTGGCCAAAGAGGGATCCAAACACGGGCAACCAAACAAGAGCAGCCCCTGTGACTCCACAAAGCCAGCCCTGTGTTGTGTAACTTTGCCTTCAGCAATCCTCACCCTATTGTATTTCAAAGCTATCTCCAAAAGAAAGGTGTACTTATCACCAGGCAAAATAGTCATATTCTGTGAAAGCTTCCTAAATACTGCATCACAGCTGAAAAACAATCTTGTCAGATCAGATTTGACACTAAATTAACCTCTGTGAAAACAAGCTGTAATAAAATTCAAGGGCAATATTACGCTTCCATTAAACAACACCCAAAAGCATACCTCTGCGTTTCAGACGAGCCCATATTCTCCCGCACCCCTGCAGCCCAGCAGCACTGGGGCTGGCCACAGGACTCGGTGAACCACTGAGCAAAACAGGGGGAGGCTTTCAGCCCTGAGCAGAGCGGAAAAGAGCAACATGAAGAGGGGGGTAGGAAGAGGATTTTCATTTGCTTCATCCCAGCAAACTGGCCAGCTTCAGGCACAGCGTTACCAGCAGCACCAGCAGACACCCGGGCGAGCAGCCTTCACCCAAACGTGAGAGCGACTTCAGGTCCCTCCTGCTGCCTACAGCTGCTCCCAAGTCTGTGTCTGAAGAGGGGCTGCTTCAGTCACAGCCAGTCTCGCACTTGACCTGAATTTACAGCATCACGGTATGTTCACAGGAGACAAGATGAGGGTATAAACACAACACGACTTCCCTGATAAAACAGGCTCAGCGTATAGCTTGGCCAGGAGGGGGAAAGGTCCTTCCAGAAAAGAGCCCTAAGTAAGAGTCAGGAAGACGTAAAGATCGACATCCCCGAGTGAAGTGTCTTGCTTTTGCTATCAAGTGTCTCTAATGTCTGTCTCTAAGTGAATAAAAAAGTCCTTTAACCTGTTTTTAATACACTCCTGACACTCACACTATCTTGAGACCTCTTTAAGGTTTACAACTGAAGTGTGCCAAATATTGCTCACAAAATTTTTTTAAAAAAGCACTTGACCTTCGTTATCCAACACCATTTGTCATAGTTAATTTACTACATCTGAATTTATGCAATAGCAGCTGACGTTCACATCTATCAAGCTGTCCCAGCAAGCGGCTGATAAAGACCGAGCAGAATTGGCAGGGGATGTAGTGCGAGGCTTCACGCTGTGCTTTTGTCTCAGGACGCTTTCTTGTCAAGCCCAGGACGTGCCCGCTGCAGACAGAAGGCTGTAGGAAGCGCAGCAGCAGGACCTCAGCCAAGAACGGCACCGCAGGCTGCCAGAAAGGGGCATTTTTCCAGCCGGCAGCTCTGCGAGCATCCGTGCATCTTCTGCGTCGTCCAGGCTGACACCTCAGTCCTTTCAGCAGGGTGCTTTTGCAGCGTTAAGTCCACTCAAAATATAAACCTGTCATTCACGTCTCAACTTTGTCCTATTGATTTTTGCTGCCCAGGAACGGGCAGGATCAAGCAGCGCTAATGTAGATCAATTGGAGGATTCTTTTTAGTCCTTAGTGTCTGAAATGCCGTGACAGCACCCTGGCTGCTGCATCACACCCAGGCTGCGGCGCACTCCTCGCCCCTCGGGACGCCAGCACAAGCCGTCGCTCAGCTAGCCAGGGATTTCTTTCCTTGTAACACTGACTTGCTCACAAAGGAGGATGCAATAGGGGAAGACGCAGCCAGGTGAGAGTACAGATGCAGTCTGGCAGAGTGGAATGACACCTCTGGACAACGTATTTTCTGATCTGTAGACAACTCATCATCTGACTTCCAACATACATACCGTTTTAACGCCACTGGAACATCAAGAAATGCAACAAAAGCAGGCAGTTAGTTCTTTATAGAGCTGACAACCACTGGTTGTATGCCAACTGTTGTGTTAGAACTGTCTTTTTTTCTTGGATATTCAGGAAAGTTATATATAAATGAGATAAACATGAGATTAAAAAAAGAAAGGAGAAAAAGGAACTAACTCTCCAGTCCTGTGCTACAATTATGGAGTTCACGCTGACAACCATAAGGGCAACTATTTTATTTTACGTATGGCTCATTTCATGTAAGTCTCCAGATGTACCACATTCATTCTTAAGAGTCCTGGGAAGACTTTAGCTATACTGAAAAATGGCAAAGACTTATTAATTCAGTGATGTCTGGATCAATCATTCAGCAAGATCTTCCATGGCTTACTGAGTAGTAAATAGACGTTTCTCCTTGAAGCCTCTTTGGGGAGCTGGACCCAAGCACCACTGAAATCTTTCTGAGACTGGCACAGAAATCTCACCAGCTTCAGTTCACCTCCGTGCAGATCCTTGGTGCTGCCACTGCAAAGCCCTGATGCTCTCCAATGCTGACAGTAGCTTAGCTGGGCCGGCTCCTCGGGGAAGCCCAGGTGTGATAAGGCTCTGCTGAGCCTTTTTGGCGCCCTGAAATCCCATATCCACATTCACTCAAGAAAGCCCATCGCTTTTATGTCCTTTGCTTTTCACAGGCACCGCCAGCACTTTCCCCGCGAGTATTCTGCACCTCCATCCGCACGGGCCAGAGCCGGCAGCAACAGCAAGCCCTCACACCCCGCTGCTCCCTTTGAGCACTCCAGCCGGTGCTGCTGGCTCTCCCCTCAAAGTTACAGGCTCGCTTCAGACAAGGTACTGTCACTCATCTGACCCTCACTGTCACTTGGCCATACCAATTAGCCCGTAGTTCAATTAGCATAGACTCCATGCTTGGTTCATTAGCTTACCCCACTATCCGGGCTGAGAGCGCAGTGCTACACAGCACGGGAAGGATGGATTACTTAGGTTATCGAAAACGACATCACTGGCTTGTACGTATTCCTAGTGTTCCAGGCTTACACCTCCAGCAGCCCCAGCAGCGTTTCTGTCAGTAACACCTCGATGCAAGGCACCGTCAGGGATCGCTGACACCACGTGCCAGCTCACCCAGCCGTCACCCTCTTAAAAACCCAGCCTGGTCTCAGTGCACAAGGCAGGGCATAGAGGCTGCCACAACATTTAACAGCTAAGAAAGGGTTTCTTTCTGAGATTAGCTCCAAATCCAATTATATTAATATCTTAATTTATCTTAGTTAATTATATTAATTCATAATCAGCAGCATGACAGAAAAAACAGACGACCAAATCCTATTATATGGCACCTCAGAACGAGGGTAGAACTGCTGTACTAACAACACGTGCACATGCTGACATCAGAAGCACAGTTACATCAGGTCATCCTGGGACATCCAGGATCTTCATCCCTTTTTAATTGGAATATAGTATTGGAAATACATTAAATGAAGTATCTCTTTATTTAGCTACGCTAGACTCGTTTTGGCAAACACAAATTGTGAATTATGTAACCCTAACAGAAAGACAGACGTGATCTGAAACAACGCAAATGAAAGGGGGATGTTTGCAATGCTGCTTTCTTCGCAGTAAGAAGAAATAACTTCTTAAAAATGATGGCATTTCAGACTTCTTCCTACCCACAGGTAGCAGAGACACGGGATCAAGCATGCTCTTAGTGGAGCACAAGGCACAAAGCAACCATTACACAAAACTGTGCATGGTGCAATATTCTCTGTTGTATTTTCGACCTGACTTAAGTGCCAAAGAATCATTTTCATACCTCCCATCTCCTCATCCACCAGAAACGACTGTTCCCTTTCCCAGCTAATCCACTGCCTGCTTCTATCGCACACGAAATCAGACACACACATGTGCAGGGAGGTCACGGTATTTTTAAATTAGAAGCGAGTATTCCAGAAGGGTGACATGGATGGCTCACTCAGTGTGCTACAATTAAAAACCATCCTGTCAATCCCGTCAGAAAATTGCATGCAAACGAACCCCACACTTCCAGCTCCTGGTGTATCCAAATCCTTTTGCCTTAACTTGTTCTGTTGCAAAACTCTACAAAATGACCCCCTTTGGCTCATCTGTCCCAGCTCCCCGTCATTCCTCGGACCGCTGTGCAGTTGCTCCTGGCCCCCCATGTGCCTCGTGCTGGAGGAGCCGTGCACCTGCAGCGATCCAAGGAGCGACCAGATCCCTGCTCGAAGCACCCGTGGTCTCTCCGCTTTCGCCTGCCCTGGAAGCACCAGCCTGGCGTGCTGACGTGACCCAGCGCTGCACCAGCGAGGCAGGAACCGTGTGCGGATGCATCACAGACTTGCCGTTCCCAAATGGATCCAGCAAGGTCCTTGTTTATTATTTAACATAGCCAAACAATTGCTGGAAAGCTTCAAGTCTTCAGAGTGACTTTTTTTTGTTAAATGTAACTGAACAACTTACCTTCTGGAAACACCATTCAAAGGTCGTGCCCCCGAGCCAGGCGTGCCATGGAGAGCTTCGGGAAGGACCGGCCAAGGGCACGGGTCCCCAGGAGTGGGTGCAAAGCAAAGAGAGGGAGGAGCGATGGGCCATACCCTGTTCCGCACTCCCCGTGCTGCCGGGGAAAGAGCTGGCAGGGAAAGCCCCTTGCCGAGGGCATGGCAGGCAGGCAGCAAGGAAAACCCCTGAGTTCCCAAGAAAAATCAATTCACCTCAAATTTCTGCCTCAGTTCCTCGTTTCCTTCTTCTCCCTCGGGAGGCACCGGGACATTGAAATACTCCCCCTCCTCCTGGCTCAGCAGCTTAAACCTGAAGGGACACAGTGAGAACATCGGGTCAGGATGGCAGGCAGGACCGCAGGCAGGCAGGACTGCACCTCCCGCTCTGAGCACAGCTCTGCCTCCCTCATACCGGCATCCAGGTGACCCTTCCCAGGGTCAGAACACCCCCCCCGAACCTCACACCCCCAAACCGTCCCACTCAGCAAGCTCCCAGACACGCACCCGAGTCGAGGGTTGTTTCTGCGGTCCCTCGCTGTACTGGGGACCTCAGCCACCACAGCCTGGGAAGCACATCCACCACCTGCTGCGGTGGACACCACAAAGCACTGACATCTCTTCCAAAACACAAGCCTGACCCAGAAACCCACAGACAAAGCACATCTTTCTCATGATGGCCATGGGCACACATGTGGGCAAGCTCCCTCCCCATTAGCTGCCAAAGCAGGCCAGGCTCCACGGGGAGAGCACGCAGAGCCTGCCGGTGCCGGGCTGGTGCCAACAACCCTGAGCACAAAGCCAAGATGTTCACCAAAAAAAAAAGGAAAAAAGTTTAAGCAGCAATTATCAGAAATCATGGAAATGTCATTCAGGTCTGAGGCGTTTCACACAGCCGCAGGCAAAGCCTTGGCTCCATCGGCGAGCCCCTCCCGGCAGCCAGAGGAGAGTTATCAGCTGGGTGTTATCTACAGAGGCTGCACTGAACGAACAAAGTGCTATTTGCATAATATAGGGACAGACTCTTCCTTTGAGCTTGTTTTCTCCATTAACTGCAGTTGTTTAGATATGAAATATACATCAGAGCTCATTCTAGAGTTTATTCTAGCCAAATACTGTGACAAGGAAAATTACTTAGATCTCCACATACATGATTTTTAAAAGGCTGGGAAAACGATCAGGCTTTGGGCCGCATCAGAAGCCAGCAGCGCACCAACCCCAACCAACACACGTGCGTCCTTACAGGTGACTGGAAATCTGGGGGGAAGTGATTGTTTTCTTCTTTTTTTGCAGAAGAGAAAACGTGTCTCAGTCGGGGTCTGGTTTGTGACACGCGAGGCTCGCGGGCTGAGCCCTGCCACGCACCACCTGCGTGATAACGCAGCCAGGCTCTGCCTGCAGCCCCACGATGGGGTGGTTTTCCCTGGATGGGGTGGTTTTCCCTGGGGTGACGGCACACACTGCCTGCAGCGGGCACCCGCTCGGCAGGACGAGGCGGGCGGCGGCAGGGAGCACCCCCAGCTCTGCCCTGCCCAGCGGAGCAGGCACCCCAAGCCCCAGCTGGGCCGGGGGAGGCCGTGGGTGCCCTGCATGGTGCCAGCCCTCCAGCCCACCTCTGTGTGCAAGAGATGCACAACCCGGTGCTGTGCGGGCAGGCTAGTCCGTCTGCTAATTCCTCCTCCTCTCTGCTTTAAGCGAGACACGGGCAGCTTCCACGGTAGAAAAGCCAGAGTCTGGGGTGTTTGCTCAACTCGTGGAATGCAAACTAATAGCATGCAGGTTTTGGTTTCCAAAAGACATATGATATCTATTTTCAATTCTTACACTTGACATGGAAAGGTAACACAGCTCTCATACATTAGTGGCTAGGGGAAAAAAAAGGGAAATAAAGCGGCATGAGTCCTGCTGGGGGAGATAAAATGGAAATGAAGAGCCCCATTCAGTGCGGGTGTTACAGACCCAATGTGTTCATCTTCCGTGCGGTAAGGAGTAAAGGTAATTACACACTTGGGTAGCATTCCTCCTTTTACTGAACAGTGCCCCTCGGCACCGGTTCTGCTAGTCTGCGTGCTACACAACGGCTGCCCCCGCCACAAATCACAATTCAAAGCGTGTCCCCTCAGCCTTTCACCCGCTCACAGCCTTGCTCTCCTGCACGCCTGATGAAGCCACGTTGCCTCCCCAGTACAGAAACTAATGGAATCCAACCAGAAAATGCTGGAAAATGCTTGCTCAGCAAATGCTTGGCAGGTGATGCCATCTCCTCCTGAAGCCTACGTAGCAAGAGCCCGCAGGGAGCACCAACCCTCCTGGCCATGAACACCAGGCGGAGCAGCCCCGTGTCTGTGCGTGCCCACGGGAGGCAAAAGCCCCTCGAGCTCCGAGCAACCCTGCAAGGGGCAGGAGGACACAGAGGAGGTGATGCAAAGCTGGCCTCTGGCCATCGCGTGGGACACCCCATAGCCCACCACAGCACCAGTGATTCTCACCAGTCTGAGAGGTGGAGCGGCACCTTACACGGGAGCCAAAATGCCTGGTGGTCCTTGAACAGAAGGATGCTAGTAAAGTACGATGGGCTGCCACATCTTCCACTGGGTACAAAAAGATCAGGACTGCTTTTTGCCCATAGTATTTTTAAAATAATTGCAACTCTTACCATCCATCAACTCCCGACTTCTGCAGCTCAGAAATCCCAAAGGACAAGGAGCCCATGAAATCCTTCCTGCTGGTCAGATCCCAGTCCCAAATCTCCACAGACAACCGTCTGTCTTTGTCCGCCTCTTTCAGTTGGCTGGAAGGGAGGAAAGAAAAAGGGATGGTTTTATTCTGGAAGCTATTGCTACACCACCATGCCCCTCCATGCTCCATAAGAACACGGATGCAAAATGAAGGGATGGTCTTCAGCTCTCTAATATTTAATTTCCCGACCGCATCCGTTTCAAATGGAGAATGCAGAGTTCCTGCCCTGAAATGCTTGGCTTTGATCAGGGGCCAGGGCAGAGGTCTGAGCGTTTCTAAGCTACGCTTACAGGACTGAAAAGAATTATTTCTCAGTTGAATCAGCTTAATGTCTGAATAATTAAATCAGAGCAAATACAATCACATTAATTCTTAGGGGTGAGAAAAATTATTTTACAAGTTTAAACATTTTTTTTGTACTTACAATTTAAATGTCTCGTTCCACTCAGGATTCAGGGAGCACTTGATAGTTTTGGTCTTCTGTTTGCTTTCATTTTTGGGGTCAGGGATTAGTTTAAGCTTCACGTAGGGATCTGACAAGCCATTAGGATCCATAGGAACTAGGTTTTTAGCATCTCTTACTGGGGAAGAGAAAAAGGATTAAATTCAGTACTCAAACTATAAAAGCACCCAGTTGACAACTTCCCTCTGTGCCAAGAGTAAGTGTGAAAATAGTGATTAAAAACAGAATTAAAACTGAATACGTGCAGAGACGGACATTACATGAGAAACGATACACAGTTATCAATGCAAAGCAAATATAGCTCTAATGGACAAGGGAGGCTGAAGGATCAACTCAAGAGATTGGTTTTACTTTCTGATAGGATGATTTGTTGTTTGCTCTCAGTTTTAAACAGTTTACAGCTGCTTTGTTTCCTCTTGCGCCTTGGTAAGCAGAATTGCACTGATTTGCACCTTCCTTTTGGGAGAGGCGGAAGCTCGGGGACGGTGCTTTCCATGGACAGTGGAAATAGCAACGAAGCAGCCGTGACCAGGGGAGAGCAAGCACAAGAAAGCACCAGCACAGTGGCCAGATCCAGCACTGAGCTCTCCTTTTGGGTCCCCCTGGGCTCAGCTGCCGTGGCCTCGAGGGACCAGGGGGATGCCTGCAGGGAGCAGCGTGGCTGCCGGGCTTGGCAGCATCACCCCAGCTCTGGAAGCCGGAGCATCTCCTTGGGGAGCAGGAGCAGAACAAGGAGCAGAAGAGGGGACAGCAAACCTGCGGGCAACCTCGACTGCCTGTAATCAGATTGCAGCTTTGACAAATTAAATACAATCAGGCTGATCTAAGTCTCTTTCCCCACGTTAAGTCTAAAAGGGTCTGTCTTCTGGGAGAAGGGTCTCATCTTCCCTTCAGTCCAAGGAAAGATATCAGAGATGGAAAGTCTGACAGGATATGATGGAGCACAGCTGTAACCAGGGGGAGAGCTGCTTGCAAGAAAGTCCAGAGCAGAAACCCCCCTCCCCTGCACCGCAGCCAACAGACACAGGCTCTCCTGCCCAAACCGCCCAGGCCTGAGTGGGCAGCACTGCCCAAGCAGTGGGGGGGGGCTTCCCTCCTGCCCAAGTGTTGTGGTTACGGAGCCCCCCGCCCCTCCTCAGCAGCCGGCACGCTGGCAGCCCCTCAGCACCGCACGCCATCACCTCCCCAGGTCCAGTGCACACCTCAGGGATCAGGCACAAAGGGTCATGCCGTGTCGGGAACAGGGAACTTGGTGCTGCCTGAAATCCCACCAGATCACACCAGCAGCTCTGCTGTGAGGTTCACTGTGGACACAGCTTCACCCCATAATGCTGAGGAGGAGAGGACTCCAGCTGTGTCTGCGGTGCTGCAGGATGTTAGAAGATGCTTTCAGAGAATCAGCAAGAGTAAAAACAATTGCTCGGTTCCCAAATCACCAGCAAGGCATAAGGCATCCTGATGCAAGGTTGGGAGCCAGATAGTTTTGAAAAGCAAATTAATGTTCTGAAATCTGCAATCTACTGCTGTCCTCCTGAAGTATCGCCCAATTTCCGGCTCTATGGAATAAAACTTGTAGCCAAAATTCAAATCTGAATTTATAAACTAGCTCATTTATCAAACACGATGCCCTTGACAGCAGCTCCTGAGACAGAGAGAGGCAAGCCTGCCAGGAATCGCCTGCTGCCCATTTACAGGTGCCCAGGCAGCCTTATCGATTCGGCAGCACTAGATATTCTTCGGACTCCTGAGACGAGGCAGCCACAGGAGCCAGAGCCGTCTCCTGCCCCTCTGGCAGAAGGGGAAGGAATGACTTCATTACTGATGGCCCCAGAAGCAGCGACATACAGCGACCTTGCCGCATATGCCGTCATGCCCAGGACAGGTCGGACCTCTTTGCTGCGAGGTTGAGGCCTGCCAGCGGTCGGTGAGGTCAGGGATGCAGATGCAGCAGCTGCTCGGCATCGGCATTTACAAAGAGCTTTCTCTGCTCGTGTGCAAGAAGCAGCTTTGCTGTCTGGAAGAGGGGGAGGACACGTGGCGAGGCTCCGGTCCCTGGGGCAGTCCCCCCCCACAGGTTGTTTAGGCAGCAGCGATCTTGCTTTCCCAGTATGAACACCAGGACCTGGGGACCCTGCACACCACACCGCTCCAAAATCTGCCGTCGTCCCCAGGGAGGGTGCTAAGGGGGGTTGTGGACACTGGACCATCCTAAAAGCACTTGTGAGAAGATGCCCAAGGAGGAGGATTCACCCTTCCTGTACCGGAGAGGCGCGAGGCCTGAAACTTCTTTAAACAGACAACAGGCATCTCTGGAAGACAGTAAAATATCAGACCCAAGCAGCTTTCAAGCTTCTCCAGTTATTGCCCATTTGTTATGTACTGCACGGGCTGCTCTCCAAGTTAGGGCCAGCTTTGCAGAAGCACTGGGCCATCCCTCCACAGACCCCATAGGGGTAAAAATGCGTGGCAGTGCCAGGGCTGGTGAAGCAACAGCACGCGATGTGCATTACCTGCTCTGCAAGAACCTCATCCACATAACGAACCTGCACAGCCCCACGTCTTGTGAGAGCAGCCCAACAGTCGTGCCTTCTTCCGCCTATAACTGCTTGCCGCGACACACGCAGCATGACTTCATTTCTATAATGTCCTAACAATTATTTTCATGTGCCATTTAATAAAGGAATTATTTTTTTTTTTTAAAGTATGGACAGAAATACCGGCTCTGCACTTCAGAGGATGCACAGCAGTTTATTCTGTGGCTTAATTTGGACTCTCAGTCAAAATCTTCTGTGGAAAGCTTTGTACCATCCAAGCAGAAAGGCTTGCAATCTGCTGTGTGAAATCTCTAAGTAATGAGTTTAATTTCCAAGGGCCCCGCCAAGGCTCTGCACTGATACAGCTGAAATGCCTTCCTCTCCCTCACCCCTTATCAGAGGAGAAGAATACATATTTTCTCATCACCATTATAAGCTTTTATCTGTTCCTTTCTGATAGGAAAAAAGGCAATCTTTATAACCATGTTCTTGAATTATAAAACACAAAAGCGTATCAGAGAGAAGACCCACAATAGGTCCTGCCAAGGCACTACCTGACCGGCAACGAGCCCGCAGGGGAAGCAGTCTTCATAGGCTTTGTAAACAAACAGCAG